CTGGGAAGACCCTGGAAAAGATAATCAAGCAATGGATGTGCAAACACCTAGAAGCAAGCAAAATTATAACCAGAAACCAACACGTGTTTGTCAAAAACAGACCTTGCCAAACAAATTTTATTTCATTGTTTGGCAAAGTGACTAAATTAGTGGACCAGAGAAATGCTGTGGACATTCAGTAAGGTATTTGACAAAGTAGACCAGAACCTACTTCTTGGTAAATTAGAAAAATATAGGATAGACAGCATCACCACCAGAAGGATTTGTAACTGGCTGACCAATCACACTCAACATGTAGTCCTCAATGGAACTACATCTACATAGAGGGAAGTAAACAGTGAGGTACTGCGAGGTTCTATCTTAGGTCCAATACTCTTCAACATCTTCATAAATGATTTAGATAAGGGGATAGAAGGGGAACTCATCAAATTTGCAGATGACACCAAAGTGGCAGGAATAATCAACATCTCAGAAGGTAGGCTCAAAATGCAAAAGGATTTTGACAGACTTGTATACTGGGCCCTATCTAACAAAATGAAATTTAATGGTGAGAAAAGTAAGGTTTTACATTTAGGCAATAAAAATAAAATGCACAGGTATAGAATAGGTGGCACTTAGCTTAATAGCAGCAACTATGAGAGGGCTCTAGGAGTCCTAGTGGACAACCACTTAAATATAAGCCAGCACTGTGTTGCATCCACCAAGAAAGTCAATGCAATCCTACATTTCATTAACAGAAGATAGAATCAAAATCACATGAAGTGCTAGTGCCACTCTATAATGCTTTGATAAGACCACACTTGGAATATTGCAACCAGTTTTGATTGCCACAATATAAAAAAGATGTTGAGAATTTAGAAAAGAGTGCAGAGAAGAGCACTTGGGGTTGGAAGCTAAAACATATGAAGAATGGTTACAGGAATTTGGTATGTCTAGTCTAATGAAAAGAAGGACTGGGAATGACATTATAGCAGTGTTCCAATATATATAATGTTGGAAAATCATTACAAATTTGTAGTGGATCAAATTCCAGGCATTCATGAAAATTCATGAAAAGCACAAGGCAAGTCTTTTTGTATGTTATTCCACACTGCCCATTGGAATCGGACTAAATCTGGGACAGCACAAAGGACATGAGCATGTTCTCCTAGGCATTCTTTACAATAGAATAGAATAGAATAGAATAGAATAGAATAGAATAGAATAGAATAGAATAGAATAGAATAGAATCTGGATGGGATCTTGGAGGTCTTCTAGTTCAGCCCCCTGCTCAAGAAGGAGAATCTATACCATCTCAGACAAGTGACTGTCTAGCATCTTCTTTAAAATCTCCATGACGGAGTACCCATGATTTCTGGGGGCAAGTGCGCACACTTGGATCTAGAACAAGAGAAGTTTGGATAATCAGGCTGCTCCCTCAAGGTAATGAGGTCCTGAATGAATGTCCCAAAATACAAGCTCACTTGGATCTCTTGCCATTCTTTCTGCAAAAAAGTTTAGATTGAAAGGGGGAAATGGTCACCAAAAAGGTGAGAAATTTAATTCTACCCCATCAGTTACCGGGATGCAAGCTAGTCAGTATGATAGCCATCCCTCAGTTAGTGCACAGTTCTTAATTCTCACCTATATTGTAGCTCCACTTGTTAATTATTTATTTGATTTATAAGACACTTCATTCCAGAGGATCTTGGCTTTTCATTAGAATAAAGTAATCTAGAGAATTCATAGCTGGTGTTAAGATGTGAATGGGAGATTTCATGAACTTTGCTACTATTCCACATCTTTAACTCTCACAATGGATCGATCATTTCACAGATTGACTTTTTGTAACATTTAATTTTGTCATCTGATTTCCACTAATATGGCAGGTTCAACCAGTTGTCACATTCTATTACATTCAGTATTTAATTTTTAGTATGGCCCAAACCTACAATATTATAGCCGTTCAACATTTTCTCTTTACTTAGTGTATGAGTAAAGTTTATATAATTATTATTCCAAAAAAATGTAAACTGATTCAAAATGTTTCAAGAAACTGTTATTACCAAAGAGTGCACTAATTTTTGCAAGCACTTTTCCCCTCTCCACTCCATCCCAGTGACAAGTGTAGTTCCAGTTATAATACAAAAGTGAGTAGGGCCAATTCATACAGGTTAGTGTAGATCCTTGGGTATGAAAAGAGATCCATTCTTAATGGTCAGCACATACATGTCAAAATGCCACCCTTCAGAGCAACCAGTAATTTATTCTTCCGACAAGGTCCATGATGAGGATGACGCTTACCACTTGGGGCTGCTGGATGCTAATGGCAAGTAGCAAAGGTCTCACCTGGAATAATACAGGCTTACAGAAACACTGCAGCATAACCCAAGGAAGGCAAAGAAAAGGCTAAGCCATCCTTTAATGAGTTGGTTTATTCCCTATTCTACATATACAGGCTCATAGGATTTCAACTTCAACCACTTTGAAATCATAAGTTATGACTGTAAAATAGAATTGTATAAACATACTAATGCCCATGTGTTACATTTATTACATGAAAATCTATCATTCCAATTCGTGCATTGTATTTACCCCAAAAGAAAACAAATTTGAGTTTATGATAATTAGTTCTCCCAAATCAAGAAAATATAATCATAGATAAAAAACTTTTGCAATACCCAACTTTTTTATTTTTCAGCTAAGGATTTTAATATTTGTTAATATCAATTCTGGAGATTTCCCCACTTCAATGACTGTGTACACATTTATGTATATCTGTATACATTTGTCAGAAACTATTCTCCAAAAATGGGCATGACAAAAAAATGCATTGATAATATTTAGTATAGAGATAATGTAAGCTAATTGTGCAATGAATTATTCCAACATCTGTTATACAAGTCACACAGAGAAGCATTTCCCTCCTAGAATGTATAGAGGAAAAAGAAAGAGCAGATACCCAGGGAAGGTATGGTAAAAAGTAAGAAAGAAAAAATGGTGATGAGGTAACAAGTAAAGAAAACTGAATAAGATAGGAAAGAAAAGAGAGGGAATTTCTGTTTAGATGTCAAGAAAAAATTCTCCCAAGGAACCATCTGCACCTCTGCCTATTTATTTGTTTTCAATCAATGTTGCCTATCTATTCCTCTGCCACAACCCTCCCACTCCTACACAATTCACTGGTAATTGGGGAGGAGTATCATTTTCTTATTGATATATTTGAATGTCTCCAGCATTGTCATTTTCACACAGTTTGAAAATTGTAATAATTACTATCTGGCCCAGGCTGTTAATGCTAATGCCATTGCTGATAAACCAGTAATCTGTACATAACACAAAGAAGGGCATAATAGTATTAAAGATCTTCAAGAAATGATAATTTTGTTAAGTTTTTAGACACATTGGGGTAATAAAGAAAGTATTGATGAATAAGGTTCCAGAGGGATAGCAGTACCTGAATCTCCTTGGATCCTTGGCTCTCCAGTCTTTTTGTAATAACTATGGTGGCAGGTCAGAGATAGTTGCAAAGGAGAGTATGTTTTGATCATTCAGGTGAAATAAATATTACATTTCTCAATTAGTGACACACTCCATTATTCTGAAGTCAAAAGAATTAGTTTTGTGGTCTATGGAGTTCAGCTGATTCTGAACTCCGCAAGAAGATTTGGGCTTGCATATACATTTTGTCAATCCTCAATTTGTAATTGTCTTTTTCAAATTCACGTTCCTTTCTCTTATTAGATAATTACCAGCAGTAATGGAAGATAGTGGTTTGAAATCAGATGTAGCCCTTTATCAATAATAATAGTAAAATGTTAAGTTATCCGTGAAACTTAAATCCCCACAATATGAATATTCTGGAGTCTGAAAAATTTCCATTGCTTTGAAAATTGCACTGATTTAAACAGGACAACTCCTATACTGCTGGTTTACTGTAAGTCCTGCCTCACTTTCCTGTAGTGCTTCCTCACAGAAGGGAAGTCAAATCCCATTATAGAAAATGGCAATGCTCTTTTTGATTTTAATGAAGTTCCATTTTATGCATAAGTATTTATAATTACCCTGATATTTCTATTTAAAAATAAATTTTAAGAAATTGAAAGTATCAAATTGTCTCCAGATGAGACTGACAGGCTCTCAGCTTGCTCAATCTTCACAAAAATCCATTTTCCCATTCCATAAATTAACTGCAATTTCTTAAATATGATTCACACAGAAAATAAAGTTATTTTTGTTGTACAGTATAATTCTATTGTTAAGGATAAACTCGATGCAATATTAGGCAAGTTTGTGTCTTAAATATATAAGCACACATAATTTACCACCAAATTCATGTATTAAAAACTTAGTCACACATATTTTTTCTTCATGATAACTGTTTCACATATTAAAGTTCAAAAGCTTCAGTTTGCAATCTCTATACCTGCATGAACAAGCAATGAGTGTTGTTTTGAACACATTTTTAGCAGTACCTATTTATTTCGTTTTTGTTAATTTGTCATTTCTTGTGAAACTATTCACTTATTTATATACATTGTTTTTTTTCTTTTCCTTTGGCTTCAACAGTTATAATAAACCATGATACCAAAAAGTATTGTAAAATGATGAGTATGGAAAAGTATATACATTTGGGGAAGAATTTTTTACTTCATCAAAATTGGCAGTTTCATTTCAAACATTAAAAACAGGGAAATATCTTGCAGATACAGTCCCAACCGAAAATGTTGTTGTTTTGAAATTCACATTAGATACATCTTAACATCAAAAGAAAACATTATTTTGTTTTCTTCCATGCAGTGCTTTCTTCTATAAATTGACTTGTAAAGGGAAAACAATTCTGAAACTACTCTTTCAAATATTCCCGTTTTTCCTGAACTTTCCAAATGAGAAATGAATTTTAGAAAATTCAAGTATATGAAATATTCATGTGATTTTTGTATGCTGTGTTCTCCTGATGAAAAAAGTAGACCTCTTCCCATTTTTTCCTCCATATAACTTCTGCAATGAATCCAGCACTCTGTTTATTCATGACCTCAAATTCCTCAAGATGTAAAGTAGGAGCTATGCATTGAGTATAGATTGTCAATGGGGTTGCCCACTCTTGATTGTAAGGGCCCAGGTTCTGTAGTTTCCAAGAAACAGTTGCTCTGGTTGCCGAAGGAGGTATCATCACTATCCATCTCACAGAAAATGGGCTCAGAGCCTTCATAATAGACAAAGAAAAACCGTTAGTTGTAGCATCATCCTTCAAAAGAGACAAGTCATATTTGGAGCCACAAAAATTACTCAAATGCAACTCTACTCTGATACGATATCCATATATTTAAATAATAGATAGAAAAGTCATCAACCATTCTGAATATCATGGCTGCTAGATGTGAACTGCAAAATTCCAGCTGATCACTAAATGGTGGCAAAAACATATTTAAAACCCTAGTTTGCTGCTGATATATCTAGTGATCATCTGGAGTTTTGTAGTCTAGATCTGCTGGAGCTATTAGATACTAGATAAGATACTAGAACTGGCCTAGATACATACGAGATACATACTGTCAGAATCCATTTATATTTCATCTCTATCTATCTCCTCTGATTTAAAACTAAATCTCACCTTCCCCTGGATTCTGCCATACTCCCAAGGGGGAGGGGGGATATGCCTGCGGGGTTATGACTTTCACTTCCTCTATTCCCTACAATGTAACCTTTTGTTTATTGCCGCTGAGTCTGCTGGCCATTACAATGTAACAAATTGCCTCCTACACTATGCATCTCTCTGAAGTTTCTTCTCCTTAACCTGGCAGTTAGAAAAAAGGGGAGGAAAGAAATACAAACATCCAAAACCTGTCTTATTTCTCTGGTCTCAAAAGGAGGTGTGAAGAGCTGTGGAACATCGTACTACAAACGGAGCCAGACCAATGTTATCTTCCCTTTCCCATGATTGACTTAACACCTGGGGATTGGCCGGTCTGAACCGTCCGGATGAACTATGGGGTGGGGTTTGCTTAGGGACTCTTTAAAGCAGACATGTCAAACACAAGGCCCGCAGGCCAGATGCAGCCCGCCAAGGTCCCAAATTTGGCCCCTGGAGCTGTTCCAGAAATAGCAAGGGACCGGCCCCCACTGCCCCAGCCCTGGCCCACCCCAACCTGGCTGGGCGCCTCCCAGCGCACGTACATGAAATGTTGAGCACTCGGAGGCTGGTGGTGCACAGTAGCAGCTGCAGCTCATTTGCCTTACCCTGCCCCACTTGTCCTGGCCTTGCCCCACCCCTCCCGGCCTCGTCCATCATGCCCGGCCATGCCCCGTTTTACTGGGTCTCTCCTTGTCCGACTCTGCTTTGCCAGGCCTCGTCTCACTATGCCTGGCTCCACTTTGCTGGGCCAGGCACCAAAGTGCCACTGAAAACAGCAGAGTGTCAAGCCCTGCGAGGCTGACTGGTATGGAGACCTAGGAATGCTGCTCAATACCCCAACCAGTTAACAATTCCTACCAGCTACAGTGCTAAGCTGGTGTGTGAGCGAACGGAACTGCAGAGCATTGCTAGCCTCGACGTGGTGTGCTGTAGTGGCTGTGAGAGACCAACGCCTCCAATAGCGTCATCGCTGTGTGCCTCGTCGGCCGACGCTTCCAATGACGTCATCACTGTGTGCCTCGCTGGGCCGACAATCAACGAGCGAGGGGAGGCCATGGGCGAACATCCAAGGAGGCATTAGAAGGACTGAATTGACCAGCGGGGATGGGGTTAAGGGTTACGAGGCCGGATGGTGGTTTGGTGGGTGTGGGAGGATATTACCTGGGGTGTGGCAGGTCCGAGGTCTATGTAAAGCACTGGGAGTAAGCCATTCCCAGTGCTGACTTTGTTCTCTACAGCTGTGATTAAAACCACCATTTGTCTATCGTTCCTGTTTGCCGGCATTTCTATTAAACATCGTGCCAGGACGACTTGACACAGAGTCTGTATGCGCACCTGCCTTGCCCAGGTCAGCCAAGCTCTCCACAGTGCGCTACAACTGATCCAAGGCATGGAAAGCAAAGGCTGTCGGGTGAGCTTGTAGCAGGTGAACACACAGACTCTTCTTTTTTCAACAGCCCTTCTTGCCGCTGGGGCTGCTGCTTGCCTTCCTCCACACTAGTGCTTCCATGCCCCGCTCACCAGCCTGGTCTCACAGCCTGCAAGGCTTTTCTTTCACTGGCATCACCCCACCCCCGAATGGGAAAGCCACGGCCAGCGGCTTCCTTACTGAGTGTGGAGATGACAGAATGGGAACTTTAGGCTTCTGCCTGCCAGTGTGCGATAGGAGATTGCAGGGGCTTTCGGGGGGGGGGACATGGCAGGTGAATAGCAGCGGCTTGCGGTTTCTGGCATGGGGATGTTGGAAGCAAAACTGCCCTTTGGGCAGGCATAGAGTCAATCCCGGCATGGAGGCAATGGAGGGGAGGGTGAACTAAAAGGGAAGGCACTGCTCCACACTTTTTTTTAAGCTGCCAGAGGCTCCAGACAGAGGTTTCCCATTTTGACCCCTTCCTCTATCGTTTCCTCTTGCTCCATGGCTCTCAGCTCACCTCTCCCAGAACTTGCACATATGTTGAGGAGAGGGTCTCACCTCCTGCAACCCCACACTGTGACATTGAAGAGTAAAAGAATGGGAGAGGCAAGAAAAGCTGTGATGGGAGCTTCTTGCAGCCTTCCACAGGGCTGGGGGCAGGAGCTGAGGGGGGCAGGGCACGATGCAATTGGTAGCATGTTGAGAAAAAGAAACAAGTACTCCCAAAAAAACAGATTTCATTAATTTGCAGCCTTCCATCACAGAAGGTCTCCGTTGAGGGTGCGGGGCTGCAAGGGGTGAGAGACACACACACACCTTCATGTGCACTCACACACACAAACACTGTGGGTCTGGGAGAGGTGAGCTAAGCCATGCAGAGGCAATGATGGGGGGGAAGCCTTTGCCCACCGCTGGCTGCCTGCTGGCACCTCTGACTGGAACCTCTGGCAGCTTAAAAAAAAGCAAGGAAAGAAGGGAAAGAAGGGAAGGAAGGAAGGAAGGAAGGAAGGAAGGAAGGAAGGAAGGAAGGAAGGAAGGAAGGAAGGAAGGAAGGAAGGAAGGAAGGAGTCAGGGAGGGAGGGAGGGAAGGAGAGGCAATTCAGTTGGAAATGCCCCAGTTCAAAGGAGAAAGCTGTTTTGTGTTCTGTTTTGTCACAGACAGAACTTTGTTGGCAATCCAAGTTAACATTGGTATTCTTGAATTGTGAGCTCTTAAGAAAATATCCCCTCCTTATATGTTGCAAACAGCCATTTCCAGTGGGGAAAGCAGGACAAAGCAGAGTGGGGAAAATATTTTCCTTTGGTATATTTCCACTCTGAATTAGACCAAGGCAGGCTCCTTAAAGGAGAGCCCTTTTAAGAATTATGTATTAATAGAAAAACAATTAACCTACCTCTGCTCATAAAAGATAAAGCTGTTCCACATAAAAAAACAGAGGAACTCTTATTAACTATCACAGCCACCATTTTGACAGTTTTGCTGTACTGTTGTCTGTGGACACCCCCACTAAAAGCAAGCATGGGATAAACTGAGCTTGGTTTGTTCTCAGTTTTTTAGGTGGCCACAAACTGCTAGGAAAAGTAGCATTTGATCACAAGGCAAGAAGGCATCGAGAAATGTTTCCCCTTTTGCATTTGAGCATCCAAGAAGGGATAGGAAAGGAGAAAGGGAAAGAGGAAAGACAAAGAAAAAAGAAAAGAGGGGAAGGAAGAAGAAAGAAAGAAGAAAGAGGGAAGGAAAAAGAAGAAAAGGGAAGAAGGAAGGAAGGAAGGAAGGAAGGAAGGAAGGAAGGAAGGAAGGAAGGAAGGAAGGAAGGAAGGAAGGAAGGAAGAAGGGGATTACAATGAGAGGGGGGGGGTCTGAGGGAAATGCTGCCTTAGCACTTGGCCACCAGCAGCCTTCTGCCCTTTTGCCATCCCCTTGTCTCCTCCTCCTTTTCTCTTCTGGTGGTCTCCCATCCTATTACTGAGGATACTTTAGTTACAAAGCCAGGTTTCTTCACATGGTGAGGGAGTGGGCCTCCCTCTGACTCACATACTTTGCCCTCCCACACACATCATGAGCAACGTGGCCAAGGAGAGCAAGAACAGCAGCAGCAGCTTCGAGGAGGAGGAGGTAAGCACAACAGGACACCCCCTTAAGACAGCAGGGCTGGGCTGGGCTAGGCTGTGGGGTCCCAGTGACCTGGGAGCTCAACCAGGCTGGATCCCCCCAGCCCCGCCTGGACCACACAAGTGCCCCCAACACAAGCGATGTTGAGCTGGTCATGCCTACCTCAACCACGTCCCCCCAAGATCAACCACAACCCTGATGTGGCCATCAGTGAAATTGAGTTGACACTCCTGCTTTAAAGTATTGATCTGTAAAGAATCCCTCAGATACTGTCTATTATGCCTGCTATCAACTACTCTTAATAAAAGTTCCTTTTGGAATAAATTGTTTCCAAGAGTTCTGCTTTCTTAAGATGGATTGAAGTGGGTCCTTACATTAGATAGGATCTGCAGTAATAGTCAACCTGGAAGGGAGACCCTTACCGGGAGACTTTGCAAAAAAATACAATATCAGACGACGAGGCAGGGAAGGGAGAAAACTCCGTAGAAAGGAAGCCTTCCCCCTGATCGGGATCCCGCCAGCTATTGGGATCCGAGACATCATACTCTTCAGGAAAAGAAGTGGTGGAAATGCACGACCACAAACCTCAGTGGTCAATGGGCATTGCAAGAAAGATGAGTGGGAAAAGAGATCAAGAAAGGTAACCATGAGACGAGGCAGCCACAAACCCAAATGGAAGCAAGAGATGGAGAAACCCCTGCATGTTAGCGAAGAGGAAGGTATTTGTGCACAGCACTCAAACTGGATCCTAGAGAAAGCTATTGACCTGATGAAAAGAACCCTCAGCTCTCTAGGAGAGGAGAAACCTGAACTCCACAGCCGCACCAGCACCTGGAGCTGCAGCTGGAGAGACACTGAGGGGGAATCGGAACCTGTAGTCCCGGGGATGTCTGCTGAAACAGCAGCTACCACTTCAGCAGCCCCCACTCCCCACCGACACGCAGATGGCGATCAGGATGGGAGACAATACCGTCGGCGGTGAAGAGACCGATCCATCCAAAGATTCCTGCCACTGGACGCGAAATTCAGGGGGGAGCCACCATGCTTGGGGTTCTTCCTAACCCAAGTCCTCAGCTACATGGAAGAATACGGATGGGACATCGCCAGTGATAAAGCCAGTATCCATATCGTGCAATCCGTTCTGGACGGGGCAGCCACAGATTGGATGGTGAACCTGCATAATTTCAACACCCCAGAGCTCAAAGACTTCAACTGCTTCATGTCCTCTCTGAGAAGGCGCTTCGATGACCCCCTGGCTGAGAGAATCAAGATGGTGAGGCAGGGCAGACGCCTGGTAGCCGAATATACGCAAGAATTCCAGGCCATTGCCAACAAGCTGGCCAGAAGACATCCTCCTTAGCAATTTCAAAGACCACTTAAACTACGACCTGTATGATGCTTGCCTGCCTCAATGAATGATACATCTTGGCAGAGGAAGCAGAGGAAGCAGAGATCAACCTACTGAAGAGGCACCACCAAGAAAAACCATGGGGCCACTCGCCTCCTAAGCCAACGCACGAGCCAGTGAAACCACCGGCTATGGCCAAGAAGTCAACAGGCTGTTTCAAATGCAGGAGAGAGGGGCATTGTGCCGTAGAATGCCACTCGAAAGCCCCTCAGCGGAACCCAGACCGATCACCAGCCAGGAAATCACGGAAGTCCCAGCCAAGCCAAAAGAACCCGCCATGAGGGCGATAGAGGCTGTGGAGTCCCCAATCCCTACCAAGCATGGGGAAGGAACTCCAGCCTACACAGCAGGGGCGTTGGACACCTTGGACGACAGCTCGGAGGTCAAACCCCATTGCACCCGTCCTCAAGACAGTGACTATATTAGCTCCCTCCATGCCCAAAGCTATCAAAATGAAAGCATTAATCGACTCTGGCTGCACCTGCTGCCTCATTAGCCTAACGCTAGTGGGGAACTTGGGCATTCCAGTGAGGAGGCTGAAACAACCAATCTCATTTGGCCAGTTAGATGGATCCATAGCGGGGGGGGGGGGGTGGGGTGCCAGCTACCCTAGCCACTTTACCAGTCCACCTATCCCTGGTGAACCATGAGGAAGGCATAATATTTGTCATGACCCCAGGCACAGAATGCCCAGTGATCCTAGGGCTGGAATGGTTAAAGAAATGGTTTATATATTTACAACAAAAAGAAAGATTTAAACTAGACAAAAAGAGCTATGGGTTTGGTTCTATTAAAAATTAATGCGAAACCCTGTTGTGTGATAGTGATGAACATATTATTGCTAGGGTCTACAAAACATTACTGAGTTTGAATTTGGAAAGTGAATATGTAAAGCATTGTATGATTCAATGGACAAGAAACTTTGGACATAATGTAATGCTTGAACAATGGAAGAATACGTGAACAAAAGGTTTAAAATTTACATTAAATTACAATTTAAAATAACATTTTTATAAGATGATGTATTGTTGGTATTTAACATCAGATAAGCTATCAAAAATGTATAAAGTTATTTCAAATGAATGTTGGAAATGCAAATATAAAGAAGGGACTTTTTATCATTTATGCCAGATATGTGATAAAGCAAAGAAATATTGGAGATTCTCAAAGTGAATATAAAGATAAAACTAGAAATTTTTCTCTTGGATTTCATGAAAAAAGACTTGGAAAATATTTTTGGAACTTTGATGTTATATATGTTGACAGCAGCAAGATTACTTTATGCACAAAAATGGAAGGATGCTTCAGTCTCCACAATGGATGGATGGTTACAAAAGTTGATGGAGTTAGCAGAGATGGCTAAATTGACTGCTTTGATGAAAGAAAAAAAAACAAGTATTTTTGTTTCTACTTGGAAACCGTTTCTGGACTTTGTGCTTGAGATAGAAAAAAAGGAAACTTTGATTTTGGGTTTTACTGATTAGATCGATCTGTTGTTACAGAAATGGGTAGTTTATACTATTATGCAAAAATAAAAAATTGAGGTTCAATGCTATTTCTTATTCTACTGCACCAAAGGGAGTTGGAAGTCAATGCCTTTTCTTTCTTTTCCCCTCTTCTCTACACATTTCTCTTCCCTTTTTCCTCCTCTACTTTCCATATTATATGCTTTTGTATTTTTTTCAGTTCTTACCATAAGGGTGCATGTGGTCCCCTGGCATCTGTGGGGGAGTAAGTCCTTGCTGGAAGGAGTCTGAGTTATAGACACTATGATCAATAACCAACATCTGTTGTGAGGTTGGTTGCAGTGTGGTGTATGAATTCATAATTCCTTCAAAATTAGTGCTGTTGCCATTGCTTGTCTGAGCTGGAAGACAAGGAAGAATGAAAGAATAATATTTTTTATCTCACCTTTAATTTTGATCAACATGAGGTGGTGTACATATCTAATATTCCCATTTCCTGTATTCTACACAACAGGGATTACTATAAGTACTGCCTTGAGCTCCTGAAGTAAAAATAAAACATATATCTACAAGTATAGCTGTGTACTATAGGCCACTCATTCAAGAAAACATAGATAAACTCTTTGTTAAGAAATTCCAAAGGACTGGAAGGGAGTTGATGTGGTACCAATCTACAAAAAGAGGAAAAAATGGATCCGGAAAATTATAGGATAATCAGTGTGACATCTGAGAAAATCCTGGGGAAAACAATCAAATGGAGAATTAGTGAGCATCTAAAAGCAAACAAGGTGATTATGAAAAGCCAGCATGGGTTTGTTAAAAGCCAATCATACCAGACAAATCTTATTGCCTTTTTTTGATAAAGTTATTAGTAGATCAGCAAAATGTTGTGGACATAGTATACTTGGACTTCAGCAAGGCATTTGACAAAGTAGACCACAACCTATTTCTTGGTAAGATACAACAATGTGGGATAGACAATACAACCACCAGAAGGATTCATAATTGGCTGATCAACTACATTCAGTGGGTAATCGTCAATAGAACTACATTTACATGGAGGAAGCATGCAATAGGGTACCTCAAGTTCAGTTTTAGGTCCAGTACACTTCAACATCTTCATAAATGATCTAGATGAAGGGATAGAAGGGGAACTTATCAAATTTGCATATGACACCAAGCTCGGGAGAATTGCTAACACTTTGGAAGTTAGGCTCAAGATCCAGAAGGACCCTGACAGACTTAAACACTGGGCCCTAAGTAACAAGATGCAGCTCAGTGGTGGAAAAAGTAAGGTCCTGCATTGAGGCAGGAAAAAACAAATGCATGGATACAGAATCAGTGGTACCTGGGGAAAGAGATCTAAGTGTCCTACTGGACTACCACTTAAGTATGAGCCAGCAATGTGCTGTACCTGCCAAAAAAGTCAATGCAGTCCTAGGCTGCCATCAACTTAACTGTGATTTCTGTATTCTACATACTCGTCTATGACCAAATAAAGATTTGATGATGATGATGATGATGACGACAACAAGAAGTGATAGTACTGCTTTACACTACACTGTTGAGACAACACTTGGAATACTTCATCCAGTTCTGGTCACCACGATCCAAAAAAGATGTTGAGATCCTGGGAAATGTGCAGAGAAGAGCAACAACAATGACAAAGGGTCTGAAGGCTAAATCATATGATAAATGGTTGAGGGAGCTGGGTATGTCTAGTCTATCAAAGAGATAAATAGGGGATAACTATACTTGAGGGACTGTAACAAAGAAGAGGGGATTGACATATTTCTCTAAGGCACCAGAGAGCAGGATAAGAAGTAATGGGTAGAAACTTGATAAAGAGAAATCCAACCTAGAAGTAAGGAGAAATTGTCTGACAGAGGTTTCAAAAATAGATTGGAAAAACATTTGACTGGGATGGTATAAGGCTCCTGCCTTGAGCAGGGGTTGACTAGAAGACCTCCACTCTCCCTTCCAGCCCTATGCTCCTATGAATGATAAAACACTCATTATGACTTACGACTGGTCCTCATGCTTACTATCATCACAGCATCCCCACAGCATCAAAATTTGGGCACCTGGCAATCGGCATGCATTTATGACAATTGCAGTATCCCAGGGTCATGTCATCACCATCTATGACTTTCCCAGCTGGCTTATGAGAAGCAAAGTCAATGGAGGAAGCCAGATTTGCTTAATGACTATGTGATTCATTAACAACTGTAGTGACTTACTTAACAAACATAGCAAAAAAAGGTCATAAAATTGGGCATCATTCACTTAACACCTATTTTCCTTAGCAACAAAAAAATGTGATTGTAAGTCAAATACATGAATAAATATTTTCCCAAGCAAGGAAAGCAAATTGCGTATGTATCTGTGTGTATATGAAAGGGAAAACGAGTATGGAGGTATGTATATTTCTAGGCATGTATTTTCAGGTTTACATATCCACAATAGCCAAATCTTCTCCCTTCAGGCTACAGTTGTCCTACCTGTTTTTTTGTGGCTCCAGTACAGTTGCCTGGCTTTGGCTGAAATAGGTTAATCAAGCACTGAAATATATACAAAATCTGAATTTGTAAGAAGAAACAGTTGGAATATATTTTCCTTTCTTGATTAATAACCACTGTACTTTCACTGTAAAAAAATTACATCCTTTCAGAATGGCAGCAGGTGGTGCATTTTCAAGAGAGAGAGTTTCCATGTCAAAACAAAATTAGAGACCAAATCTTACCTGCAGTGAATCTTTGTGTGTTTTGCTGATCTTGCTGTTGCTGTTGTTGTCGCCTTGCTAATTTCTTCATCTGTGAGTAAAGTAGGAAGAAAATTCAGAACAACATAATAATTCTCCTTGGTTATCTTGAATAGTAGAATAACCTTAGAAAAAAAATGATTGATGAGTAAACAACTTAAATGATTCCTGCTGATGCTACTATGGTACTCTGATACCCTTCATCTGTTGAATTCTGTGAAGGATATATTGGGAGAAGCTCACAAGCTTCTTACACTTATAAAATGATGAGAAATTCCTGCTTCATGTTTATTCAATTACCTTTACCTTTCTACATAGAGATAGCCCTCACGTATTGACCACTTGTTCAGCAACTATTCAAAGTTATGACAGCACTGAATGAAAGTACTTACAACATTCTCAAAGTTCCAACTGCTGCAGTACCCCACAATCATGGGACCATAATTCGGATTCATTACCTTCTATGCCAGTTTCCCATAAGCAAAGTCAATTGGGAAGCCAGCAGGGAAAATCACAAATTGCTCTGTAAGTCTTACATCCTATCTTCCAGTGCACCACATCACACATTCTTTCTCTGGGCTTCCCTGCACTCACATATATCAACCTGCAACAATCCCCTCCCTCAACTCACATGTGGCCTCTGCTGTGCCTCCTAGGGCTCCCCCCATCCCCCCACCCCCATGGCACCCCTGTGCTCCTTACTTGGACTCCTTATGGTTACAATGGTAACTGAGGCTACCTGAATTGACCTTTCTAAGTGATTACAGTCACATGACACTACAATTTATGACTGCATCCCAATTGTCGCTGTAATTTGAGTACTACCTGTACTCATAGCTCTGCTCTTGCCTATAGCTGCTGTTCATTTTTTGTACTCATCCAGCTCCCCTCTCTTTATATTAATATAGTACAAAAGAAATAATTTCAGTCTGACTGAATAAACTCTTATGTAGCTTTGTCCAAAAAGCTAATGGAAATATAAATTCCCCATGACACCCTTACTATGTATGCTCCTTGTACTATCTTAGATAATTTCCTGTACTAAAGAATATAGGAAACAAACATTTACACACCCAGTTTATTTTCTGTAGAAATATCAGTCTTATAAATTTTCAAAATTTAACTTAAAAATCCCACTGAAAGTTTTAAAATTTATATACCAGGTTCATAAGCTACTTTTACATACAAATGCACTATTTTCAAGTTTTTAGCTGGAGCCTCTTCTGTGTTATACATTACCCTCCCCCTCAAATCTCTTAAAAAGAGTGCCAGTTTGGTCTAATGCTGAAGGCACCAGGTCAGAAACTGGAAGAGCATCACTTCTTGTCCTGTTTTAGTCATGGTGACTTTGGCCCAGCCACTTTCTCTAAGTCCAACTCACCTCACAAGGCGATGTTGTGGAGAAAATAGGAGGAAGGGGTATTAGGTACGTTCACTGCCTTGAGTTATTTACAAAAATAATAAAGGCAGGATTTTAATAATATAAAGAATATTTTTCATTCATCAAAACTTCCTAGTTCCTGCCCTACTTCTTTTTAAACTCTAGAGGTTTCATAGCTATGGACACATCTGGGGTGTAAACAATTTTCATATAAATTGCTAAAGAAATTTTGACAAGGGGAATGGTGAAAAGATTTATTTCCTCCTTGTATAAAGTTGAAGATGCCTTTTTCATAAAATCCTTTTGAAAAAAATCCTATTTCTTAGTTGCAATTTCCATATGTTGTATGTTGTCTGATTACTTTTGCCACCAAAAATTGGAAATCTAGAAGGGGGGAATTTCCTCAAATAGGAAACATTTCTCTGGTGCAAAGCAAACCAACCAAAAACTTATTAATATGAAAACTTTGAACATATTTGACATAAAATTAGGAAAGAATTCATATGTCATCAAATTCTTCCAAGAAATAAATATTTCCTTAGGTAGGGAAAGCATTGCAAAAGTTGCACTGACTAGAAAGATTTTATTTAAAAACAATCCTTAAAATTATAGCACCAGGTATTCTTTTTAGCAGTATTTACTAATACTCTTTTTAGAGCTAGAAAAACATTTCATTAAAATTTGACAAAAAGAAGATAGATAAAAAGATAGAATAAATGAGTTTACATAAAGGCGTTAGTAACTTTATGCCATTGTTTTGAGAATGTTGAAATTTAATGTTTTTCTTGTGCACATTAAATATTCTGCATGTTATGGTAGCTGAATTGTCAGTCTGTGCAATATATATTGGAACTCTAGTCCATTAACTCCTATTTCTGGCGTTACTGGGGGAAGGGTATACACGGCTGATGTAGATATGCACTCCTCTCCTAGCAAATATCATATTTAATTATTAATGTAATTATTACCTTAGCTCTTTGATTCTGGAACCAGACCTGTACAACTCGAACACTAAGACCTGTCTCAGCTGCTAATGTTTCTCTTACCTTTAGGAAATGCAGAACATGTAAATTATATTCAGTATCATACAGACAAATGATCAGCAAAATGTAAAATGTTTACATAACATTTTCAACTTTCAACATGTCCCAGTATTTCAAATTTCCAAATATATTGCAAGATCTCTCAAAATATGAATGGCAAGAATGTTTTATAAACCTGTGCTAACTTTAAGTTTCAAAAATAAATTTAAAAACTCCATAATGCAACAGTTCTATTTAATTGATAACCCATTACTTCAGATCTCTAGCTATCTAGGTGATTTTTAGGGGTTCTGAAAAATATATATTACTGCCGCAAAGTAACTGTTATCTATAGTCTAGAAAAACATAAGCTATGACTGATGGATCCCATTCTGATTAGTGGATCAGCATTTGCCCTAAACAAAATATTTTTTCCTGATTTTTTTTTTCTAGAGAGAGATGGGAAAATGGGGCTGAATCTTAGTGTTTGGCATAAGAATACTTAGATTTTTTTAAAAAAAAATCTGTTTTTGAAGTTTTTAATGGTTCTTAGGCCTTATTTGTTCTGGAATTGGATTTTCTTCAAGTCAACATTGAGTCAATAGCCTTCTGATGGTGAAGAGACTGGCCCTTGAATTGGGATTTTCGATGTGCTCAGCATGTTCCCACCAGGGAAGATGAGGCCCAGTTCATTCTGGTGCTGGAAACTTACTCAAAATCCTGCTACAGTTGACTAGAATGAATCATGCTGGAAGGGAAGCTGGTGCCTGGAACATATGGGTAAGCAGAAACTCTTTATGATGTTGTAGTGAAGAGACAGGGTAGTGAGTTCTGAATTGGTTGGGGATAAAATATCAGACTTGTCTGAACATTGCAGCTACCTGACCATTAAACACACCTAATGGCTTCTGTCCACAGATTCCACTCTGGATAACATTTTCCATTTGGCTGCTCGCAGAGCATCCCTACTGGACTGCTCATGTGAATCATGCCTGAAAGATTAAGATCTTTGACTAGTTCGCTATTGCAGACTAGAATCTATGATTTAGTATTATTCCAACAAGTAATACTGATGGAATTAAGGGCTAGAAAATATGTTAAAGATTTATAGGATAATATATGGGCATCTTTTCAAAGAATCTGACTTTCCTGTCTCTGCTGAATGCAGAAGCAGTGTGGGAGCCTACTGTGAGTGATGGTGGGATCAACTGTGAGTTGTTGAGGGTCTTTCAGTTGCATGATTAGCAGAAATTGGGGCAGAAGGGATGGGAGGTGACAGAGGGGATAGGGCAAGCAGTTCCATCTGAATGGTGATCAGCAGAGAGAGATATGAGAGGGAGCTGGCAGTAGACTATACACAGGGAAGACAGAGTCAATATTTAATATTCATTTCACCTTCCAGTTCCTAAAAGTGCTTTTTCAAAAAGACAACTGGACTGTTTTTTCCTTGAGGAAGAAGAAGAAGATGCTTTGCTCTTCTTCTTCAAAGCTTTATCAGTTATGATGGTAGGAGATGGAAGAAAAGGTTCTGACAGGATGGTGCAGGGGAGATGGAAGGATTGTATTTCTTTGCAGTCATCTGGTTGTTAGCACTCTCTCTGAGAGACATTGAGGCCACTTGAGGGTTTATCTGTGCCCTCAGGATCACCTGAATCAGAGTGATTTGATGAAGGCCCAGTTAGAAATGTCTGCTACAAGACAGTAGTCTGCCTGACTACTACCTATTTTAAATACAATGAAGGTTTCTACAGAAAAAAACACAGCTGTGCCATGGGTTCACCTGTGCTTCCCATTGTGGCCAATCTCTACATGGAAAAGATACAAACCAAAGTGCTAAAATCCTTCACAGGATTTTCACTCACTCACTGGTATAGGTATAGGGATGATATTTGGGTCAAGATTAAACACAGGAAGTAGAAGCCTTCACTAAAAACACATCAACTCTGTGGACAGATATATTAAGTTCACATGAGAAAATGTTAAAGAAAACAGCCTGGCTTTCCTAGACTGTGCAGTGCACATTAAAGAAGACAGAAGCCTTAACTTTGAAATTTACAGAAAACCCACACACATGTCAGTATTTACATTTTGATTCTCACCACCCACAGTAGGACAATATGGGACTGATCAGAACCCTACACCACCAGGCTGAAAGTTTACTCACCAGTAAAGGGGAAAAAGAAAAAGAACTGAATCACATCAAGGAATCCCTCAGTTATCCTCAGTTATATGTGGTTATCCTAAATGGGCCTTCATCAAATCTAAAAAAAAAAAAAAAAAGGCCCAGCAGGAGCTCCTTCATCACAGACAAATGAAGCAACATTGTCATTCCACACAATGTAGGAATATTTGAAAAGCTTAGAAGGATTTTCAACCAACACAACATAATTGTATACTTTAAACCCAAGAACACATAAGGGCAGAAACTTATCTACCCCAAGGATAAAACATCCAGACACAGACTGAGTAATGGGATATATGCAGTACAACGCAGTGAGACATATGCAGATCTGTTCATTGTTAAAACAAAACAACCATTTCACAAGTGCATGGCACAACATCAAACCCATCAATACATGATTAAATGGTCCATCTGCATTTGAAAGACAAAGGTCACTCTTTTGAAGATAGCAAAGTCCACATTTTGGATAGAGAAGACCATTGCTTTGAATGAGGGGTAAAAAGAGTCCATCTATATTAAAATTGAACAGCCCTCTTTCAACAGAGGGGTAGGAATACGACATCACTTATTTCTAGGCTACAACGAAGTCCTTTCAGCAGTTCAAAAAAGATTCCACTATCATTTGCACTCTGATTCAGGTGACTCTGACGGCACAGATAAACCTTCAAGTAGCCTCAACGGCTCCCAGAAAGAGTGCTAACAACCAGATGACTGCAAAGAAATACAATCTTCCATCCCCCACCACCATCCTGTCAGAACCTATCCTTCCATCTCCCTACCATTATAACTGATGAAGTTTCTTGGATGAGAAGTGAAATATTTTCTTCTTCCCCCTCAAGGAAAAAAAAGAGTCCAGTTGCCTTTTTGAAAAAGCACCTTTGAGATAACTATGATTTGGATGACTGAGAATCTCCATAAACATTTTCTCCCAGTTCCTAGTATCATCCTGTTGCCAGTCATTAGATCTACAGTCGTCCTGGTCTGGTGCTGTTAAATTCCAGGTTGTTGTTTAATAAGGCTCCTCTCATCCATTACCGTACAATGGATAAGGCAACTTACTGCCATATATGACTGAAATCTGAGTGGCTTGTATGGGTGTGATAAGAGGAGGGGACACCTCCTATTATCACACCCATACAAGCCACTCAGATTTCAGTCATATATGGCAGTAAATTTGCCCACTGAATTTAGGCTTTAGCAAGCTACAAACCAAGAGTGTGGGGTAAGGTGGCAGCTACTTGTGGCTTTCAGAAGCTCTGTACTATAGATAACCAGATGGGACATTCTAGTTGAAGATGGACTCTAGGGGTAGATGGGTTTGCTGCTACTGAACTGGTCTCTCTGCTGCACAGCAATTTTCCTGACTAAGTCACATGACTGTTGCTAAATTGGCAGCGGAGTCTCAAAGACTGATGTTTTTGGAAACTACACCCTCATGTAGTGTAGAGTCTAGTGTGATTCATTCATTGGCCTGACCCAAATTATTCAGAACTCAGTGAACACAAATGGTCATATGCTTGATCTGTTTGGTTTTTGTTGTTGTTGTTGTTTTGTCTCAGGATAATTTCAATATGTTCTAAAGTAAAGGTCAATTGTTATGGTCAGGTTGCTCTCCAATTGCTTTTCAGCTTATGGACAGCCACTCCTTCAGCGGGGAAAGTGAAGCTATTTGATTGGTCTGCCCTAGACCAATGGGTTGGATAGGTTTCAGAAGGAGTTTGGAGGTTCTCTTCTGAATCTGGTGAGCAGCATTGATGTATGATAAGGACCTTGGACTTCATTGCTCCTGCACAGCTCTTAACTTTTCTGAGGAGCTTTGAGAGATAAAATGACAGAAGAGAGACCTAGTTCACTGTTGGAGGAAGATGAATTAATCTGACTGAGTTAGGAACTCATATTAGAGACTACATCATGGCAGTAATAGTGGCAAAACGTAATTAGTTTTCCATCAGATCATGTCTACAGAGGGCAGCTATTTAGTATATTCTAGGCATTTGCTCATAAAGTTGCTCATACTCTGACTGAGATGGCTCATACTCTGACTGTTAAATATTAAGACCCAGCCTTGCTTGGTTTACCTTGAAAATATGACTCCTGGCTGAAGGATCCAACCTCCCTTACACTACTTGAAGGACCCTGAATAGGTTGAGAGTTGGAGTGCCTATCTGCTGAAGTGGAGGCTCTTAGCAGATAACAACATGTTGTGTGAATGTGGAGAGATGCAGACCCTGGCCCATCTGCTGGTATGTTGACTACTGCCAGAAACATGTATCAGTAATGACTTATTTTTGGTCAGTGACAAAGCCAAGAAGATGGCTTCATTCTGGCAATTTAAAGTTTGATCTAGACACAGAAGAAGAGATTCCTGAGGAGGTAGAGAGATTCTTTGAGACTGTCAGTAAGGCCAATTATTAGATCCATGCCCATCCTGCTTAGTTAAGGCCTCCCAAGAGGTGATTTATGGTTGGATCCATCATTCTTGAGAGACAGGTGGTTTAATCTCCTTGAAGACAGTGGTGCATCCCCTTCTCAAGAAGCCATCATTAGATCTATTTTAATCCAGTCTCCAATATTTCTAGGTAATGTTGAGGAAAAAGCAGATAGAGTTCCAGATGATTGTTAAAGAATTAGTTATTCTATTTATCTAAATAGAAAATCTAAACCAATTTCAGTTGGGTTTCACATTAGTATGGAAGAGCACTTACTGCATTTTTAATGGGTTTTCATGGAGACAGGACAGAAGCAGTGTATTAGATTTAATTGCACGTTGCCCAGAGTCTGTGACCCTTATAAATTAAATTAGAAATATAAAGAAATATTTTCTTTGGTCCACAATATGCATGAGTTATGGAAACATGAATCTCTGTAAATATCTTGGGATACAAAGACCTTAGTTACTAAAAACTGCCAACCATAATTGTTCCTACATATAAGATTCCAATCTCTTCTAATTATTAAAATGTACCTTCCTACATGGCTTAGAAGATACTTCGAATGATGCTTTAAATGCTCGGCGTTGCTGTGTGGTTAGGATTGTCCGGGGCCGCTTGGGCCGTTTATGATCCCTGATCTCCTCAGATACTTTCCCAGTCTCTTCCATTTTGCAGAAGCTTGCTTCATCATCACATTTACCTTATAATATGAAAACATCCCATTGCAGTAAAATTCACAAATTGTTATAATTAAAATATTTAGCTTGAAAATGTTGCACAAAAACTTTATTAAATGAACACAGATGTAATTTGGGAAGCTCCTTCCAATAAAGTGTTGTGCAGTACTATGTGTACATGTTGTCATGCACCTGCCTCATAGGATTGCTGTTGTGAGGAAAACAGGAGGAGGAAATAATATTAGGCATATTTACTGTCTTATAAATCACTTTGTATTATGACTGATGTCTAAATTCAGAGAATGTAGTTTTAAACAAACACATGACACATTCAAATTTTAATTCCAACTTGAAATCTAAATTGGATACCTTGCAGTGTACCATGTTAATACCACTTTATGTCTATGTAGTCAAAGTCTACATAGAATCAAAAATACCATCGTAAAAATGATAGAATATATGAAACATTGGCATAATGATATTGTTCTAATTTAAAAAATAGCTTTTTCCTGAATTAAAAGAAGCTTCTCAGATATTTTGCATGTCTGTTTGTTATTTACCAGGATGTGTTTTCAGACATTCAATTTATTTTGAATGCAAAAACAGAACAACATGAGGCAACTGAAGTAAAAGGAATTAGTGGTTTTTCTCTTCCAGTTCTTGATCTTGAAGTATTACATGGCAGCCCTGCCAAGAACAGCTGGATTTGGTAAATGAAGGTAAATGAGAATTTAAAATTAAGTTGCATGTTATGTTAAACACACAGGGTGCAGTGGCTCTTCTAATCTGAATTTAGAAATGTACAAGCATGTGGAAACTTTAAAAGAAAAGGATTTGCACTGAAATCCCTTTTAAAAAACCCCAATGCAAGGCAGGGAGAATTTTCTGAAGCAAATGGCTGTAGGTAGGAAGTTCATCCTAACCTATTTGCATACAGTTATCTCATTTAGGGTCATTTAGTTTTTTTAACTCTTGCAACTATTTACAGTTTTGTAAATGTGTTTTGAGGGCTTATCCTGGATATGTAGCTGTTTTATTACAATTACAATTGGTACCAGATTTTAAAGTAGAACAAATAAACACTTATCCTCAGTATTCTAAAAAATAGGACTTTATTCCTGCCGTATTTCTTTTGTCCAAACTTGTTACCCCGCAGCTGTGTTGATTTGGAATTCCACCACTCCCAACAAGCTGGGGGATTGTTGAAAACTGGAAAATGGAAGATTGAGGAAGACTAATTCAGAGAATTAGAGTGATAAAATATTTCCCTCCTCTAACTGCATTTGAAGCATGAAACATAAAAAGCTTTAAAATGACTGTGGAAAAATAGTGCAGAGAAGGCTGAGGGAAGAAAGAAAAGTAGCTTCAACACCACCGAACACCTGCTCATCAAATCCCCCCAAATAGTGAAAAGTTGATTCTGCTTTAACATGGCAATGCCTTTAATTAACTCTGCCTTTCAAGCCCTCCACAGACAGGATAGGAATTAATTAATCTTTAAAACTCCTCATGTCACATGGGAAAGGATGACAGGCAGTGTATATTGTCTGCACTGACCTCTGGGCAACCTCAAGACACAACAGGAGAAAGCAATGAAATACTGGATTCATGAAAAAAATCTTTAGTTTGAGAGAATTAGGGGAAGGAGAGATGTTAGTACCTTTTTAATTGGAAAGAAGGCGCTTCTTTCACAGGCCTCTGTTTACTTAGGCTTGGCCACTGGGGGTCAGAGGAGAGAATCACTGAACGAGGGGCTTTACAGATTATGGACAACATATGGTTTCAAGTATTTTGTGCTTTATCTTCATTTTCTCACAAAGATGGTCGTGAGTTTTCATGCTGCTACTTGATCCCCTGGATTTCTAAATGGGATTGTAAAGAAAGATGCTGACCAAGCAGGAATTTGCTGTCATATCATAGCCTGGTGAAGCTGATTAAACGTCCTGGAGAAGGTCTTTTTCTTTCTTGCAGACATGTGCATTCCTACTTTGTTTTGAGTTACAGACCACTTCTGCTGCTAAGCTAAATGTGCTTGCAACAGAATGTACAACAAATTAGGACAAACCTTGGAGATGCTTGGCCTCACACAGGAATCTAGAAAACTCCAAGAGGCTTTCCATTTAGAACCTTAGTTCTTTAGGATTTGTTAAATTATACGCAAATAATTCCGAAATCAAGTGGGGTATTTTTAAGTAAAGAAATCAGCAATGATGACATACATTGGAACAAAAGATATTATACAAATTCAAATCAAAATTCTATCTAGTAGACTGATCTTTGTGATGAGAGAATTCCTAGTGAACCTGGGAACAACAGAGATCAATGGTTGTTTATATTATAGTAACAATATTGTTTCTGAACACAAGCACAAAGATGAGAGACCCCCTGATCAATTATTGTCAAAATCTTTTTTTATTATTTGCATTGATTATTTGCATTGATATTATTTGCATTGATATTGTCAATACCTTTTTTATTATTTGCAAAATCAAATCTGAATAGATTTTATATAAAATGGCAAAGTAATGGATAAGACAGCGGTTTCATTAAGAAAATCCTTTACCTAATATAAACAGGAATATTAATGCTGGCCCTAAAGACCAATGCAGTGGTAAGATGTTAGAGTGAACAAGTAGGATGCAATAGTATTCTCCTATTCAGTGATGTCAAGAGATGGCTTGGTACAATTGTATACAAGCTTTTAAAGTAATTTTTGCAAACTAGGTTACTAGCAACTGAAAGAGCCTCAGCTGGTACTAGGAAAAAGTCTTTGTATTTATTCATTGAATATTTATTATTTTTAATCTATTTTATTACTTTATTTTTATAGTCAGAAAACTACATTTTTTTTCCAGAAGATGGCAGCATTTTGCTGATTCTGTTTTACATGGGACTATTATTTTCAAAAATGTATTCCTGTTAAAACTGGAATTTCCAAAGTAAGCAATACAACACAACTCATCTAAAAACAGGAATCCATAGTTACTCTTTTGTTAAAATGATTCCAGCTTTGCTGAAAAGTTTCTATTGGTTACAAGACCCAGTGTTTACTTTGCAGCTCTTTAAAAAAGAACATGCATCTTCTTATCTCCTCCTGGTCTCCCCGTCACCTCTTAAGATCCTGAACCATAGCCAGAATTCTAACATAGGGGTGAGGTAGGAAACTCAAAAGCATCACAGGCAATAATAGGAGATGCAGATAATGGGCCTGGCCAGTCTCTGGCATCAAGTCCAATAGTTAATAACACCTGAACAGGAAAGCAACTCTAAATCAGATTCTTCTTTCATGGGATTGAAATATTTCACACAAACATCTCAAGCATTTCCAAAGTTACTTGCAAATCTGTCAATATGGAATTAACAGTGAGGTAATGGGGTGATACTTCCAGACTCATAAGTCTTTTCCTTCCTTCTTTGCTCCATAGAAAAGAATAAGTTACCCAGTGGAAAAAGGGCACAATGATTCAGATAAGTACTCATCAGAAAAGTACCAGACTAGTCCAAGAATCTAAAGAACAATTTGTACAATAAGACTGAACTTCCTTTTCCCTTTGGCTCAGTGTTTTTTGCTCTTGAGGTTTGTGTGTATATGTAAGAATTATGTCCTAAAGACAAGCAAAGTTATAATAAGAAGCCATCACGAGACTATAAACACCTACTAAGCTTGGACTTTTAATCTCAAGAGCTAGTGGGAGAGAAAGAAAAAATTGACTTTTGATTAGTCTGGCTAGGAGAGACCTTTAAGCTATTTTCAGGGAGATTGAACACTTTGAACATTGTGGATTATAACCTTGCCTGACTGACAAATTTTGGATGCCTGAGATAAAGGATCACTATAAAATATTGCTTTTGGGACTAGACCTGTATTCTGGAATCTATTGGATTATAAAGGCTACATATAAAGACCAGAAAGCTAGAGGAAACTTTGTTCTACTCTTACTGAGACTGGTGATATTAGAGGATCTCCAGGAATGATGCCTCAAGAAAAAACAAACACCTTTCAGAAGGAAATACACTCTACACTACAACTAACTCACCAAACAATTGTTGCATACAAAGAGAACATAAAAAGAAATCATAATGAGACTAAAAATAATTTAGATAATATAAATGAGCAAATCTCCAAATTAAATCTACAACTAGAAAGTTCCCAGACAACACTACAAAGTATGAACAAACAAACCAGAGATCAGAAGATGAAGCAGAGGAAATGGACCTAGAGATGGAAGAGATGAAAGAAGGGAAATATAAACCACCATACACAAATAAAATACTACAAGACTTACTCATAACAATGAAAATGCAAAAAACCCTTTACCCTTTAAGTCTGCAAGTTGCACCTGATGACAAGGAAGAAGATTTTGGGGAATGGAACAGGGGAAATGTTACAATTTGGGAGACAAAGGATGAGGGGAGAAATTGAGGGAGAAGGAAGGTGGGAGTTGCTTAAGGAACATAAATGGGCGGAATTCCTCTCCCAAAAAATACTCTACCTAAATTGTCTTCCTCATGCTAAGCAACTTTCATAAAAATAGAAAGAAAATGCCTGGGCAATTTGATTGCCTTGGCTTGGAAAGCTACTTGGCAAAGAAAGAAAGCGAGAGTTAGATTTAAAAAATAGAAGATTTGACCTATTAGAGGGGGCATCATATGTTTAAATATTTGTTTGAATATGGTTAAAAGAATGGATGACCCTTAGATATAATTAGACTTTTACAATGAAAGATATGATTTAGAATTAAGATAGCATGTTTTTTTTCTTTTGATATGGGAAATATGAAAATAAGAGGAGGATTGGTATGAATAAAATTTTTAGCCATATAAATGTAATTAATATTGAGAAAATCATAACTGACAAAGATACTTTAAATATTGATAGGAAATCAAACTTTAAGAAGAACACGAAAAACAGGATAATGATTTATGAATTGATATTATTGTTATTTGTATAATATTAGTAAAATATGATGAAGATGTTTATATGTAACTTTGTATACACCAATAATACCAAAAATTGTAATTGTGTAATAAGGGCAAAATGGAAAAATATGGGGAAGAAAGTAGGATCAGGAAAAAAATACTGGATTATGCAGTACTGAATAGATTTATATTGAATAAATTAATGTTAAATATGCGAACCCAAAAAATGTGTTGTTTACTAAGCTTTAAAGTTTGTAATTCTTAAAAATTAATAAAACTTTTAAAAAAAGAAAAGAAGTACTAGGAATGGAATGACAGCGATTGTCCAATATCTAAGGGGCTTCCACAAAGAAGAGGGGGTCAACCTATTCTCCAAAGCACCTGAAAGCAGGACAAGAAGCAATGGATGGAAATTAATCATCAAATGAGGAGAAATTTTCTGACAGTGAGAACAATCAGTCAGTGAAATGGCTTGCCTTCAGACCTTGTCAGTGCTCCATCATTGGAGATTTTTAAGAAGAGATTGGACAGCCACTTGTCTGAAATGTTATAGGGTCTCCTGCTTGAGAAGGGGGTAGAACTAGAAGACTCTAAGGTCTCTTCCAACTCTGTTATTATTTCTTTTTCACAAGTTCAAACCAGCTTGTGATGACTTCCATTCATCTTATCCAAAATCAGGTGACTGGCCCAAAATTACATTGTGAGCTTTCATGTTTGAGCACAAAAGTGAGCCTAGTCTCCAAAATCATTGTCCAATTTTGTAACTGCTATACCAACTAGCCATGTAAACTTGATGTTTACATATTTTGCTAATTACAAAAACTGAAGATGATCTTGAGAGGTGGTAAGGAACAAAAAAGCAATCAAAAAGGTTATTTCAGCTATCTCTGGTAACTTCTTTCCCTCTAGAAATATGATCTCAAGGAACTGATGTCTTGCTTATAAGATCAGAGCTAAGAGCAAAAATTCTGACAAACTACACAAGTAGTATATGCTGGCATTAACAGAAAGAAAAAAAAAGGTGCGAATGTTATTTGCTTTATTACCAGCCACATCTGGATCCATTGTAGAATGTTTGGAATTATTCATGGATTAAGCAGATAAAGAATTAATCATAGTTTAATTTTAATCACACCTTAGGAATGAAAACCAGTTAGATGACTTTGAGCCAATCCTTCTCTCTCAGCCCAAGCTACTTTACAGGGTTGCAGTGGGAAAGTAGGAGGATGAAGGAGTATTAGGTATGTTTGCTGCCTTGAGCTATTTATATAAAAAATAAGGTGGAATAAAATAAATAAATGTTATTCCTTGGGTTTATTACTTTTAAGTATTGCTGCCTTTCCTCAAACTATTGGAATAATATGAACATCTTAATAAAGCATACTTTTATATTGTGGTGAGCTCTTTAACCTCAGGGACAGCTATTTCTGGAAAATATTAAAACTTTATAAATATCATAATACTAAGAAGAAATGTTGCTGCCTCATCAATGGCTTCCAGCAAAATAAATGGTTCTGCCTTACCAGAATCCGATGGAGCTGGGCTTCCAATGCTGAGCCTTTCACGTTCCTTCTCATAGTCATTCCTGCACAGCAGTTGGCTATCCTTAAGGACAAATTCATCTCCCTTCTGAAGCTGTTTCTCACAGACACAACAGCAGAAGCAGCCTACATGGTACACACTTTTCTGAGCTCGCATAACAAACTCACTGGGTGTAATTGCTTCCAAACAATTGTTGCACTTCACTGCAAAAATCCTGTCACATAAAAAGTAAAAAGCAGATAGGTCAGAATTGTTCCTAGATTATGTTGATCACTTAGGCAATCTGTTGGGAGCCTGGTCTTGATGGCTTCTACTGCAATTGTAGTATATTTACAGTGGTAAGCCCTCCTTGCATTGGCAATGAAATACGTACAGGAAGTGTTTGAATTTCCATTTTGTTGTTTGGGAAATTATTGGCATTCCTAATATATACATGTTCTGGTAACATCTTTTTTCTTCCATACCCTTCTGAATCATGACATTGCCTACATCTCATCCGCAACCCTTTCCTGGGACAGCCCAAAGTTCTCCTTTACAGTATTAGTCACTTTTTTCCTTTTAAGTAGCTACAAGCCATAGCAATTCTGATGTTCATCACCAACTTTTGATTAGCGTCAAAATCAAATACTTTGACTTTGCACAAACCAAATGCGCAGGTATAGTATAGGAGGTACCTTGCTCAATAGTAGTAACTGTGAGAGGGACCTCGGAGTCCTAGTGGACAATCACCTAAATATGAGCCAGCAGTGTGCTGCAGCTGCCAAAAAGGCCAACACAGTGCTAGGCTGCATTAACAGAGGGATAGAATCAAGATCACAGGAAGTGTTAATACCACTTTACAATGCCTTGGTAAGGCCACACTTGGAATACTGCATCCAGTTTTGGTCACCGCGATGTAAAAAAGATGTTGAGACTCTAGAAAAAGTACAGAGAAGAGCAACAAAGATGATTAGGGGACTGGAGGTTAAAGCATATAAGGAACGGCTGCTGGAATTGGGTATGTCTAGTTTAATGAAGAGAAGGACGAGGGGGGACATGATAGCAGTGTTCCAATATCTCAGGGGCTGCCACAAAGAAGAGGGAGTCAAGCTATTTTCTAAGGCACCTGAAGGCAGGACAAGAAGCAATGGGTGGAAACTAAGCAAGGAGAGAAGCACTCTAGAACTAAGGAGAAACTTCCTGACAGTTAGAACAATTAACCAGTGGAACAACCTGCCTCCAGAAGTGGTGAATGCTCCAACACTGGAAGTTTTTAAGAAGAGACTGGACAGCCATTTGTCCGAGATGGTATAGGGTTTCCTGCCTGAGCAGGGGGTTGAACTAGATGACCTCCAAGGTCCCTTCCAACTTTATTATTATTATTATTATTATTATTATTATTATTATTATTACTTAAGGGGTTATGATCCTCAGAGCACCTATTGGCCACTCTAGGCTGGGGTGGTCATCCCCCTCTATTTCAGTCCCAAGGACTTTTTTTTCCAGAGGCCTTTTGCTTTGATCTATGGGAAGAGTGTGGGTCTTTCAATGGGAGAAGCCAATTTGAAAGAACCAAGCCAATCTCTGGCACAAGTATTTCACACAATTATCAGTTGATGAACCCATGAAGAATACTTGTACCAAAGCAGAGCAAATTTTTACAGATATCTGTATACTTACTAGTCTAGCCATCTGACAAAATTTACCTCTTCCTCCAATCTTGTATTAAAGGGAGTGGTTGCTGGATGTTTGTCACACCTACAAAATTACTTTTGGTCACAGCCATCTTTCTTCATTTTTCAGCTTGCCACAAGTTTGGGGGGAGGGAAAATGCATTCTTTTGTTTCAGACCAAACAATAACTTTCTTATGGGAACCAAGGTCAAATCATTCCAATGTTTGGCGGGCTAGAATTACCATTAGACAACCGCCAAAGGTGTTAACTGGAGAATGTGATTTATTACATATTTAGTGGGTGGGGAGTTTAACTTTTATTTTGTAACCTGGGGGGGACTTCCAGTCTTGGTTTCACCTTTGTTCATGCTGATATTATGTAGCCATTAAAACTGTTCTTTGAGGAAAGCAAATGCCTCAGAGTTCTTATTTTTTTTGGGGGGGGGCCTCATCTATCGGGACCATGACAATGTTTTCCTACCAGCTGGTGAGAGGGGAGGGGAAACAATCCACCAAAACAAATTTTAGACAACCTTAGTAAATACATTTTCATAACATCTTTATTGTTGGATGAAGAGTATCAAAAACCTCAATTGTTTTATGATTTTTAAACAATATTAGAATTCACCATATGTTTGCACATAAAGGTGGAGGGGAGCGAATATTCTTACACCTCCCAAACTGATTTTAAAAGTTTGATCAATACATTAGTAACAATTATGTTGCACCAAAAAGATGGCACACCCCCACCTTTGAATTTTGATTGTTTTATTCTTTCATTTCTATTGTTTATTATTATAGAAACTGGTTTCTGAGAAATGGATCTTAAGTGGCTATTTTAGAATAAAAACAGAAATGAAAAGATAGCAGCCTCATGGCAGTGAACTAAGCTGCATCCCAATGACAGTCAAGCAGAAAGAAAAGAAAAATCTTGCAGTTCTAGCCATGGATAATCAGAGGAGGGGAGGTAAAATCCAGCAATAGATACTACAATGAGCCACTTTATAACAGAGTATTAGAAAGATCTTTCTCTACAGATGGATGACAGATTCCTCTGCTGACTTTTTGGATCACCATTTAATTCTGACAACTATGTGGTTTTTGTAAAATGAGCTAACATCACACTGGATATTGTGCTATGCCAGGTATTTGACTCCTATTCTGCCTGGAAGATGCCGAACACAAACCTTACCATATGGCAAAGCTAATTGCAAACACTTGCTGTTGTTACCAAGTGCCCTATTTTTCAAAATGAGCTGGCAGTTGTCATCTCAGAACCACTGTACCATATCATTTTTTTAACAATATTTTATTGAGTTTATATACATAAGGAAAAAATAGGAACAATACGGGTACGGTAAGGGAAGGGGATGGGGGAAGGGAATAGGGGATTTAGGATAAAATAAAGATAGATACAATCACATATTTTAACAAACAAGCTACATAATAATGAGTAAATATCATACTCAATCATTTTTAAAATAAGCTTAACTATAGCCATATTACTAACAATTAATAAATAAATTCATCTGTTTAAATAAACACGAATAATAAAATCTCAAAAAGTCCTGACTATCAAGATTTACAGATAAAAATCACTAAATCACTAAAAATAAAAATGTCATCAACCTATTAATTAAAACTCAGTTAAAAATCAATCATCTATTCTAAAATATTAAGTCCTTTTCAGATTCTAACATGTCTCTAACCATTGATAAATTTTTCCCAAGTTATAAAATAAATTGAGTCATCTTTTTCTTTCATCTCCAATGTTAATCTATCCATTTCTGCACACTCTAAGATTTTAGTAATTATAGCCTGGTCAGTTGGTAGATTCTCATTTTTCCAAAATTGGACAAATACTATCCTTGCGGCTGTTAAAACATGCAGTATCAAATAATCATTCTCTTTTCCATAATTAGGTCTTAATATTCCTAACAAAACAATTCCGGTTTAAATTCTATCTGTATTTTCATCATCTTTTCCAACCATCTATGAATCTTAGACCAGTATTTCTTAGCATAAGGGCATATCCACCAGGCATGGTAATAAGTACCTGGCTGTTGTTTACATTTCCAGCAAGTATCTGAAACATTTTAAAACATTTTCGCTTGGTGTCATATGCCATCTGTAAAACATCTTGTATAAGTTTTCTTTATATGCTACTGCTTTTGTAAGCTTAATATTTTTATCCCAAAGTTTTTGCCAGTCTTCCAAATCTATAGAATATCCAAAGTTCTTTGCCCATACTATCACTGTTTCTTTCACTTGTTCTTTTTCCATTTTCCAGTTTAAAAGAAATTTATAGAGTTTCTTAATCAAATTATCTGTTTTTAACAAAATTTTATCTAATGGAGCCTGTTCTTTATAAAATCCTGTTGATTTATATTTTTTCGTATCTTGTTTGGATTTGCAAATAGGACCACCATGTCAAGTCAATACCTTGTTGTTGAAGAGTTTGCCTGTCCTTAAGTTTTCCCTCTTTGTTCAAAATATCTTTATAAGTAACCAGTTTATCATAGTTAATCAGGTTTGGATAAGCAAATGCTTCCATTGTTGAAAGCCACTCAGGTATTTTCATATATATTTTATGTATGATTTTCACTCACTCTAAAAATAGTACGTTTGTTATCGCATGATTTTGAAAGTATTTATGTGCTTTAGTTTTCTCATACCATATACAGTAAAAGCATGTCAACCTAGTTGAAGATCGTGTCTCTCTAAATAAAGTAATCTTTTATTTCTCAATACAATCCATTCTTTAAGCCAAAGCAGAATAGCTGCTTGATAATAAAGTCTCCAATCTGGAAGTCCAAAGCCCCCTCTATCCTTAGATTCTTGTAACAATTTACATTTGATTCTAGCTTTCTTTCTTTGCCATATAAATCTTAGAATCATTGCATTTAGATCATCAAAAAAATTCTTAGTAAGTTTAACAGGAACTGTTTGGAATAGAAAAATTAGCTTTCTGTCAGAATCCAATTATATTTCATCTCTACTTATTGACTATGGAAAACCCCATTTCTGCCCTCTCTGGATTCTGTCATACGATAAAGGGGAAGGGGGGTTGAAGAAATGGGTTTTATGGCCCTCGCTTCTGTTAGAGAATTTTTAATTTCTCTATTGGTGAAAAATAAATCAGAAGCTCTCACAGTTGACTGCATTTAGCTGATTCAAATAACTTTATATTTATATAAAAATATTTACAATACCATTCTTCTTTACAGCAACATAGCTTAATGAAGATTTCTTACAGAGACAGACCAGAGACAAAACCTTGAGACTGGAAATCCAGCTCCTAACTCAATACTCTTTTTGCACAGACTCAGTAGCACTTTCTTCACATTGGCTGACTGAGTTACCACATGACTCTTCCTGTTCATGAATATTCCAACACTCCTCCCTTCATGACAGGAAGAGACATCAGACCTATTGACTTTACATATTTTCCATAGTGAACATTACCCAGTGGTTTAGTCATCATGTTTGCCAAATTATCCTCAGAAGAACAATGATGTAAACTAATCAATTTTCCTTTTACAGCTTCCCTGACAT